AAACTCAAGTCCAACAAGTAACTGCAACACTTAAGTTAAATAACGGTTTTATCTTGCTTATTATAAAACGCAGATTGTGTGTGTGTGTGTGTGTGTGTGTGTGTGTGTGTGTGTGTGTGTGTGTGTATGTCTGTACGTTTATATATTGGATCGGATTTCTACATTTTCAACCGATTTCAACAAAACTTCACAGGACTACGTAAAAATTACCTGCGGTGGTTCTGACAGCGCCAAAATTGAAAAAACACAATTGTTTCTGCACAAATCAATTTGAAAACACGATTAAGAGGCATTAATGAAAGGGGGACAACTCATATCGAATTATACTTATTAATATCGAGTTATCGAGTTATACTTATTATAAAACTCAGGTTGGTTGTGTGTGTGTGTGTGTGTGTGTGTGTGTGTGTGTGTGTGTGTGTGTGTGTGTTCGTTTATATATGGAATCGGATTTCCTACATTTTTCAACCCGTTTCAAATAAACTTCACTTTTTTTTGGTGTGTTTCTTATTGTCTTGCACACTTTTTTCTTTATTTTTATTTTTATCAGAATGCTTTAAAAATTCCATTTACAAGACAATTGTTTATAATAAAATTCTATTCAAACGATTGAAAACAATGTTTTTGTTTGAGTTTGGGTTTGACAAATTTGTAAAAAAAAAAAATAAAAAATAAAAAAAATTAATTAAGACATGCGTGTCCGTCAACCTTAAATAATAATCTTTGTCAATTTTATTTTTCAGTCTTTATGATGGTCGATACTTGATCTATCTCTTACTGTTACATCCCCGGGCAACGCAGGGCCCTACTGCTAGTCTAATATAACACTATGATGAAGGTCTTCAAACGGTGTATCATTTGAGTCTTCAAACTTATACCAAACAATTGCACGTATACTTGCATTACTTACATTACAAGGACTATTATCCTCATCTTCATTGGCATATTCACAACGTTTTGGCTGTTGTACGCTCCGACCTTCTTCACTTGATAGGACACGTGGCCCAGTAGATATAGACGTTGGTTAGATCCAGTGACTAGACCCAAAGAGTGGTGAACGCAAACTTGCAGAGATAAGTTAAAGGGAAATAACTGAGACATCCGGAAGAAGCATGGTACGTGGAAGTAGAACAATATACCTCGGTGATCGAAATAAGGGGTTCGATTCCAAATTTCCAGTCACCTAAAGAAAGCCGCACCCGACGTATTTCGAGAAAAATGTCGCGTGTTATAGTCCGGAAAATACGGTATATATATATATATATATATATATATATTATATAAAGTCGGATTTCAATGTAATCCTTAGATAAAGTATGAATTCTCTTCTTTTCCACCTCCCAGGAGAGAATGGGTTCTATAGCCTTGGATGACAACTCTTCTAGGACAAGGACAACTCAGAAGTGTCTGGTTGTCGTGACCTGATCCTCATCGTCGTAGGGTGAGGTATCGCGGCGAAGGCGATCCGGCGGTGAGTTCTCGCTTCCTTCCGCCGCCTAGCCATGCTTAAGATTACTGGAAGACGCGGGTTAACGGCCCCGATCGATCTCAACAAAGTGTCCGCGATATATATATATATATATATATATATATATATATATATATATATATATATTGATATTTCTCGAGTCTGTATCATAAAGTAGCACTTCTTTTGGGACGAAGCTGTGCAGGTTAAACTTCCCTCCCCCTACTAATGGAATACGAAGATTAAGTATATATAAATATTTCTTTTAATTTTGACTGAAAGAGAAATATAAGATGCAAGATAACAGAAATCAATATTGATTACCACCAGCTATGGGTTAAATAGTAGAACAGAATGGTCTTATTATCCGTCGAGTTCCCAATGCCTCTATGGATCTAAAACAGCCGTGGATATATAGACATATAGATAGATATGAACTGACTGAAATAGATAGATAGATAGATGAATGAATGAATAGATAGATAGATAGATAGATATGAACAAAATTAAGATGGATAGATATGAACAAATTTAAGATAGATATGAACAAATTTGATAGATAGATAGATAGATAGATAGATAGATGGGATAGATGAATAATAGATATAAACAAATTTAAGATAGATAGATAGATAGATAAATAGATTTAAGATGATATATATGAACAAAAATTAAGATGGATAGATATGAAAAATTTAAGATAGATAGAACAAATTTAAGATAGATAGATAGATAGATATAAGCAAATTTAAGATATAGATAAATAGATTTAAGATAGATATATATGAACACATTTAAGATAGATATGATCAAATGTAAGATTGATTGATAAAATGAAAGATAGATATGAACACATTTAAGATAGATAGATGAATAGATAGATAGATAGATAGATAGATGAACAAATTTAAAGAATAGATAGATGAATGGGCTTAGATAGATAGATAGATAGATAAATAACTTTTTCGGCGTTTTAAGATTCGAACAATTCAAGCAATAATCGTAAACACGAATTGTTAGGAAATTTGATGTTTAATTCCATTAGATCCACAACGTAAAAAATTGGAAAGTAAGTGAAGTCAAAAAGAAAATATAAGATGATGAAGGGCACAAAAGTGTCTGCTAGTTTTACCGCGTTTGAAACAGTCATGAAAAAGTTTTACAAAATGACCGAAAAAAAACTGGATATGCCAAGAACAAAACAGAACCATCTAGTCAACAATATCACCAAAATCAGCAAGAATAAGAGGTTGAGGGTTGAAGAATTTAGGATAATTGCTGTCATTTGATCTCAGACAACAAGCAAAAATTAATGGAGGCGTTACAATTCATAATAATGATAATTATTTTAAAGAACACTGAAAAAACTTAAATAAAAATAAAAAAAAATTAGAAATTATTTATGGAATTCATTTTTGTACAGTACTAAAAATAGATTTAAGTAATGAACAAACGGATATACATATTTTATTTCAAGAGCAAGAAATCACATAAATTAGCATAAAAATATATATTAGTTATTCTTCATTTAAGATAGATAATTATTATTACCCAATAATTGTGCAATATTTATCACCTCCAAAATTTACAAAAATGTTTGAAAATGCAGAATATCAAAATTATATATACAGATTACAAATTATGGAAGCAACTTTTCAAAACTGACATTTGTAAATGACATCTAAGTTGAATAACTCTGGAAAAAAATCAGGGATGGATATTAAACTGTATCGATATTATGAACAAGTCTTCTATTCTAAATCGATAAGAAAATCAATGTTTTTCGATTCTGATAAATTTTGAGTAAGCTCTAATGAATGCTAATCTACAAAAAAAAAAAAATGATTTCAAAGTTGTTTCCTATTTTATTTACGAGTAGACCACTCTATTTAAGTAGTGTCCAAATTCTAACTACAGAGGAGACATCAACGCATCTTGACAGTGGCTATCACCGCCGAAAAAAAACTCACAAAATATAATTATAAGAAAATAAATATCTACTCAAATATTTGACAAGCGCATGAAAACTGAAAAAAAAAAATGAAAAAAAATGATGATGACAGTCGTGCCTATCATTCGGAGGTTTTGAACAGAAGTCTAAATAGACTAGAAAAAAAAAAAAAAAAAACTGGAAAAATATAAAATCTGAGAAAAAAGAACACAAAGTATGCGCATGGCTGTAGTTCGAAAAACAGCAAATGTAGTGAGGGAGAGATGACTTGAGTATTGAGAAAAGCTTATTGTAATTCGATCTCAGGTGAAAATCCCAAATTAATATCAGTTTGAAAACTCACTAAGTCAATAATTACGTTCTTTGATTTTGAAACATTCAATACTTATTGAGCTGTTTTATGTCTAGAGAGCACGTAGAGAGTATCAAACTTAGTAAGTGAATAATGATTGAATGACTTGTTTTTTACGGTTTATCAACCCTTTGTGGGTCATTTAAGGTCGAAACATATTTTGGATTGTAATAATATTTATTTTTTGCGAGTGAATATTGCGGCAACATTGGGGGGGGTTTAATGATTTTCAACATATAAATCTTACTATTTAACCGATAGCTGGGGGAGGGAGATAGAGTCATACCTTTCCCATGAGTATTTTCCTGTTGAATGTAATGAACTAGACCGGAATTCAAACTCTCTGTTTTCTCATTCCTTGTCACTAAGCCATTAAGTGAATAATAATAATAATAATAATAATAATAATAATAATAATAATAATAATAAACCAGTATGAGAGAGTGGGTCAATACCTGCATTGAAAAATATGCAACTTTTACGGGAGAAACTGAAGAGGTTGGTATGAACAACACTCAGATCCAGTTAGACACATAAGACCCCTGCAAGAATTTTATGGCACTCGACAATACACACAGGAGAACAATCAAAAGCTTGAAGTCGCCTTGACATCAAAGATCAAAGACCACAAGAACAGAATTTGCTCTTATTGACATGGCGTTCCCTGCAGACTGTAATGTATCTTTGAAAATCTTCAAAAAACTATTAAAATACAAGGACAGCAGAAATGGAAATCTCAAAATGTACCACATGAGGACATCAACAATTCTATTTGTAGTTGGAGCCTTCGAATTGACTGGAAAAGGTTCCGATATAATGGCTAAAAGGATTCCTAATGGCTCAAGCCTTAAAGAAATACAGTACACACACACCTTACAAAGGGCTTTATTTATGAAGATTTGTATGAACTTCGGGCTTTTTTTTTGTTTTTTCTTCTTCGAAAATGCTCAGTGGAAATGTCATCATACCATTTCTGATCTTACGACTCTAGTTGGTACCCGTAAAAAATGAATATGCACCAGAAATAAAATGAATAATAATAATAATAATAATAATAATAATAATAATAATAATAATAATCTTTCTATTTTATCGATCATTTAATATTTTTTGTTTACAGCGTTTTCTCCCTAGTGTTTTTCTATATATTTTACACACGCCATATTGCATTATTTTTTTGTTCGTTGAATGCAATTATTTCGTTCTCCGTTCGCCCATTCTGTGCCTTCATGACCTCCGGACTCAACGCAGACTCAATTTGTTTTTTTTTTTTTGTCTTTCGTTCCCTACCACATTCCATTTTCCCGCCACACTACATTTTCCCGCCACACCATTTTCCGCCATTAGTTCATTCGTTTTAATTACATTCTTCGTGCTTTTCTGATTTTCTAACAAGAAGCATTCGTTTTATTTTTGACTTCATATTTCAACCTCCACTGATTTGGACCTTCTTTCTTTCTTTCTTTCTTTCTTTCTTTCTTTCTTTCTTTTATAAACACCATCTCCCGTCCATTTTTCTTGTATACATTTTTCTTCACTTCGATTTTCTTTCTTTCTTTCTTTCTTTCTTTCTTTCTTTCTTTCTTTCTTTCTTTCTTTCTTTCTTTCGCCACCTCATTCTCACGCCCTTTTCTTGTATAAAGACTTTTCAATTGTTTTTTCATCTCTATGCTTCTTTCTTTATTTCTTTCTTTCTTTCTTTCAACTTTATACTTGTCCGACCTTTTATTTTCTTTTTCGACTCTTCCCAGCATTTTTGTTTGTTTGTTTGTTTCTTTATTTGTTTGTTTGTTTGTTTGTTTCTTTCTTTCTTTCTTTCTTTCTTCACTTCCCTACCTTTTTTTTCCTTGAGGCGTTTTTGCACTGTTATTTCTTCTCTACACTTATTTCCCTCTTTGTCGTAAGTAAATTCTGAGATGCCAATCTTTTAAGGGGAGATAAACTGGCCTGGAATAGCAGCATTTAAAACCCTTGCTTTACTTCCCGTCCGAAAACTAATCCATGTCTTCAGCGTGGAATACATAACTATATCAGTCACGGAAGAACAACTTTAGCGTACACTAAGTAAAGTATAATAATAAATGAGAATAGGTAGACTGTCTTTTTCATTAAACTCTCAAGTACTTACCTTGTAAATCAGCATTCAACATATTGTTTTTTAGCTTGAACTTCAACGCCTTTTCTCGCTAACAAATTAGTATTTACAAATATCAGAAAAATAGGCGTTAGAAGTATTTAGTTAATTTTCAAATGCAGGGTTTTTTTTGTTCATAAAACAAATATTATACACCGTAGCTTGTACTTAATTTGGAACTCAAAACTATAGCATCAGTGGGAAATGCATATCTCATTTTTAAGAGTTCCTTTTTGACTTTTGTTTAATTTTTTATCAATTTCCGAAGTGTTAGCGTTTTTTTATGATTCTTTTTCCCCAATCATCTTATTTGCTTCATTTTCATTAGTTTTTTTTTTCTGACATTTTCCTGCCACGAAACCAAATCTCATTTCATATCTCACCCTCGTCATTCATTCCTTTGTTTGAATCTCTAGCCTCCTGAAAATGGCCGCCGAAAAATTAAGTTAAATATTTTTTAATTAATAAATGATAAAAGGTAAAACAAACAGCAACAAAATATTCATAAAAGCGCACTTTTAGAAGTAAAATAACTCCGAGAAAATCAGAAAAGGACAAGAATAAATGCTGAAAATTTAGACACGCCAATACAAGGCCCAAGCGACACTAAAGGTAGAGGATTACTGAATGATATTGTTGTGAGGTGTAAAGTGTTATGGTAATTTACCTACGCACGTATGGGCTCTCCCAGCTATAAATAGGAGCAGGTACTGCCTTTTGGAAGGGAAGTTTCTAGCAATCAGCTCAACAGTCTTGCTGTGTCTCTTGTTTTTTGTTTGTATTACTGTTTCTGTTAATATATATTTGTTTAATTCAATTCCTCTCTTGTGTCTTTATTTCTGGCCCCTAACAAGGCCAAAACAGTAACTATCAGCCTGTTCATATCTATCTATCTATCCTATCTATCTATCTATCTATCTATCTATCTATCTATCGTAATTTACCAACGCACGCATGGACTCTCCCAGCTATAAATAGGAGCAGGTACTGCTTTTTTGGAGAGGTAAGTTTCCAGCGATCAGCTCTGATAGACGGACCGAAAATTCTTGCTGTAACACTGCCGTTTGTATAGGTTTGTATTACTGTTTCTGTTAATATATTTGCTTAATTCAATTCCTCTCATTTTGTTTTTATTTCTGGCCATAACAAGGCCACAACATAAAGTGAGGAAGTAAGATGTGCATATTATGAGGATAAGTAGAATAACGTTTGACCCTAGATTGCAGCGTTCGGGAAAGCATCCTCTCGGGTGGCTTTTCCATAAATGAACAGTTCTTGGGAAGAAGCTGTTTTTGCAACTTCTTCCTTACCAATGGAATACAAAAGAATGTGATGATTCATCCCTATATATAGCTTGGTGGTCCCTAGGTGCGACCTCAACTGATGGAAGAAAGATCCTAGATCGTAGAAACATTTGCAATGAAAGTAACAATAGATTAGAGGGATGTTGGCAAAATTATTGTCGGTGGAAAAATGGGCACAGGGTGTAAAAATAATTCATCACACCCACAAGGCCGCATAAACACTTTTGAACTCTGTCAAGGCGAGAAACAGAGGATTGGGCACCCCTGGAATGTGGCCTACTTGGGGAACAAGGGGTTCGCATGTATTCAAATAAAGATGTTGTTGTTCGGGCACTGTGTAAGTCATTAATTAAAGAGTGGGAAAAAAAGAAGATAGTGAATGAGAGTGGGTGGGGAGAAGTCAAGATAGAAGAAAAGGGTAAAGACAAGGTGAAGGAAAGAGAAGACGTGTTAAAGAAAGAGGAAAAGCGCGAAAAAAAAGGAAAGACAATAATACATAAAGAGAGGGAGAAATTAAAAGAAAGGGGCGAAGAAAGGGAAAAGAAAAGTAAAAAAAAATTAATGTATGAGCGTAAAAAGAAAAGAAAGAAACAGCAAAGAAAGAATTTATAGAAGAATGAAGAAAAAAAAGAGGAATAAAATTCATAATAGGTTTTTAAAAGACTGAATGCGATGATGTCTCCTAAAGCTGATATGGTCAAAAAAAAAAAAAAAAAAGAAAGATGACGGACAGAGAAAGAAATTGAGAAAGAAAAAAAAATAAAGGAGACATAAATAGAGATAGATAAAAGAGATATAGAAAGAGATAAAGAGAGGAATGGTAAGAAAAGAGAACAAAACAGTAATTATCGAGGCAAAAGTTGAGAAAGGCGAAAAGAAAAAAAGTATACAGAAATGGAGGGAGGGAGGGAGAGAGAGAGAGAGAGAGAGGGGAATGAGAAGAAAAAAAAGAAAGTAAAAGGTAAAAATAGTAATAGAGAGAGGAAAAGATGAAGAGAGAAGGACAGAGAGATAGAAAGAAAAAAGCAAAGGAAGAGAAAAAAAGAAAAAAAAAAGAAATAAACAAATCCTAAAACAGAGAGGTAGAAAAAAGAGGGATAAAATAAAGTTCGTTAAAGAGGGGAGATAGATAAATAGATAGATAGAAAGAGGGAGAGAGATATAAAAGAGTGAAAAGAAAAACGAGACAAAGAGGAAATGTAATGAAGATGCAACAGAGGGTATAGAGAAATATATGTGTGGGAGAGGCAGTAAAATGGGTATGAAAATACATTTGATAATTATATGGTTTAACGAAGAAGAGAAATAAATGAAGAGAAACTGTAAAAAACAATCAGTTGGTCGGTCGTCATTGAAACAAGGGAATTACAAAAAGAACATGAATAAGAATAGAAAATGCCAATAAATATAATAAAACATGCAATGGCGGAATAGAAGAATAACAGAATTAAAGATTTAAAGTTTAGCGAAATAATGAATTATTTCTTAATGCTGTCTGATGGCGTTTCTTTTTTAAACCCGATAATTGCTAGGAGGTTTAACCTTTGGTATATATATATATATATATATATATATATATATATATATATATATATATATATATGTGTGTGTGTGTGTGTGTGTGTGTGTGTGTGTGAAAGTGAGAGAGAGAGAGAGAGAGAGAGAGAGAGAAGAGGCCTATCCATAACTAAACGTCGAGCGTTTTTTTTACTCAAGTACTTGTTCATTGACGTAGGCATCTCGGCACGACGAACTAAGGTACTCAAAATGAACTCAGGTACTTCCAGCCTGTATCGAAAGTACATATCCTCACGAGCACACGGAAACGATTTGAGATAAATCAGCGTGAGAAAATTCGTGAGCTTCTGGTAAAGATGCAATGTCTCGAAAGTGCTTAAGTGGAAGAGGCGCCGCCATTTTGGGTCTTTGCACGACTTTTGGAAGATTTTAATTATTTTCATATATATGAAGTTTCGGCCGTTGTACGCTTCGTCCTTCTTCAGGTTATATACGTTAGAATTTCGAACCGAACCCTTTATTTAGTTCACTGGGGTAGATTCTTTTAGTTCTACGCTTTTCTGGATATCTCAGTCTCCAGATATTTCACTTTATTAATTCACCTCTCCAAGTTTTTG